TAGCCAAGGAATAGTGTGATCTACTTTGACTTCTAAAAAATATCATCTTAGGATCTAGGTCCTGAAGATTTCTCAGTATAAGGAATGAAGCAGGAAGATCCACTGAAATGGTTGAGACCATTTGCAGTAGTCTAGGTAGAGATGCTAGTTGCTCGAACTTGATAGTGGCAGATGTAGAGAAAAGTGGATAGATTTGAATCTCCATCAGAGGACTAACTGACAGTGCTTGGTGATGTGTTGCATATGGGAGATGAAAAAGGGTCAAGTGTTGAGGAAGCCCTGCAAGATACTTTTTTTGAGTAACTGGATGAATGGAAGTGACATTGATAGTAGAGATGCTGGTCCAACATTGGGCTTGTGGTGGAGCAGTTTGATTGTCTTCATTTTATAATGGCCTCTGAAAGGAAAATAGTTAGAACTGACCCTGTATTAATTAGGTTTTGATAGGTAATTTAAGCATAAAAGAGACCAGGGTAATAATACCCTTCACAGGTATATCCTCTGCTTTTCATTTAAAATGGTTACTGTTTCAGTCCTTAAGTAGAAGCTCACTAAAAAATTACATTAAGAGGATAGGGTATTAATTTTGTTTCTAAAAAACCCTGGACATTAGAAAGATTAAAGAAATGTAGGGATTTTTCATGTGATGACCATAAGATGTTTCAAGGGGAGAATACAACTTTTTATCTTTATAACTTTTTTCTAAAGCAGATAAGTTGAAGCTCTAACTTTTCTAAATGGATGTGGATTCTCTAGTACAGTGTAGTTCACAAAAGGAGGTATTTAAAAACATCAGAGGGGTGTTTTAGTGTTGTGTAGTTTATCTAAATGTTATTTCTGGACATTTATTTTTACCTTCTGCTCTTTACCCTGATGTTTATCTTTGTGATCCTAAAGAGCAAAATTAAAATTTCTGGGTATAAGGGTTAATTTATGTTTCCTAAAAAGACACATCTAAAGTCAGGAGAAAAATCTGTCACTTCTCTGAAAAACTCAGCTCCTTTAATGTGCTCTCCCTTCCTAACTCCCGGTTGGCATAATTACTTCATTACTCAGACTGTGTGCACGTGGCTTGCACTCTTTTAATTTATACCTGTTTGTTATGTTTACTCATGTAATTTCCTACTTTTATTCATAGTCACTTTAGTGTTAAGAGGGTAAAAATGGAGAATTGTTGGTAATATTCATGTTGCAGTGAACTCCCACTGTGCTAAACCCAGGTTATAATTCCTCCCATGGATGGCTACTTGGAAGCCTGAATTTTCACTGTATGAAAGGAATTTAAACTTTTGATAAGAGCCATGAAGTATTTATTTCTGAAGTTCTTTTCACTGTTTAACTTTTTTTTTAGTCTAGTATACTTGATTAGACTTAGAAAGATAATTTATTCACAGATTAAAGAGTGTCATAATAAAATCAGTTGTCAGTTTTTTTTTTTTTTAAAGATTTTATTTATTTATTTGACAGAGAGAAATCACAAGTAGGCAGAGAGGCAGGCAGAGAGAGAGGAGGAAGCAGGCTCCCCACTGAGCAGAAAGCCCGATGTGGGGCCCGAACCCAGGACCTGGGATCATGACCTGAGCTGAAGGCAGCGGCTCAACCCACTGAGCCACCCAGGCGCCCCTCAGATGTCAGTTTTGAAGTAGTCTTTAGCCATTGGAGTTTGAGGCTTGCTTACTTTCGTAAGAATAAAAAGAGAAAACAATGAATACTTTTTCAGTGTCTCATAATTGGATTGTGTGATAAGAGCCAGGTGACTAAAGTTCCAAAGGCTCTTCTGAGTTCAGGATTACATGTGAATATAAACTTGATGATTTGTGGGAAGATGTACATCTATTTCATAATTAAATTTAGAAGTTTGGAAATTAAAGCAGAAATGTCATTTCCCAGACGAAATATTGAAAAAGTACAGAGGAGACATCACCATTTTTATAGATAAAAACTGCTAAAAGCTAATTAGCACTGCAGAGGGCATTGGTAACTGGTGATAATTTACTCCAGTGATCTAAAGGACAGGGAAAACAGCAAGGTTGACACAGTCACTTTATATTAAAGTCATATCTTTCTGTCTAAAACTGATTTTAAAAACTCTATTTCATTCTTACAAACTATTTTTGAGCATTCATTTGTGCATCCAAGAAACAGTTAACTCACCTGCCCTCTTGGTCTCTGAAAAATAGGAACAACTTCAGATATACTTACTGACAGTCAAAGCCCTCCTAGAGCAGGTCAGGGAAAACCTTTTCAAGCAGTTTGTGAAGGTTGAAGTAATGTAGATATAAGCAAAGTAACAATGTAACTATTTCTTACCAGGCAATGTTTTAGTCTTACATCTCACATTGGGTAGTATGCTCATGTAGAATAGTACTATTCAGTGGAATTGTGAGCTACATATACAATTTTAAATTTTCTGGTAGCCATGTTGAAAGATAAATAATGGGTGAAATTAATTTTAATATATTTTGTTTAACCAAATGTTCAAAATACTGTTTTGTTATGAAATCAATATAAAAATTATTAATGAGATATTTTACTTTGGGGGGGTATTAAGTCTTCAAAATCCAGTGTATATTTTACACTTAAAGCAAATCCCCATTCGGATTAGTCACATCTCAAGTGGCTATTGGAACACAGAGTTCTAGAACAAGTGTTTTCTGAGGGATTTCAGGAACTACATTGAATTTTGGAGGTAAAGGCCCCATATTTACAGTTTGGCTAGGAAAGGCTTGTGGCAAAATGATTAAGATCCTGGCTAGCTTTAGAAGTACTGAATTCAGCATCTAAAACCTTGGGGTAAAGAAGGCTAAGGCATGGTTTGACTTGCCTGCATTCACTCTAAGCATGTATTATGATTGTCCTAAGAATACTCAGTTTGTGGAGAGCTGAACTGTCAATTTCATGTTTTATAGAAAAGTACACTTTGAAGAATTTTCTTTTGCTAAGATATAAGTAAGGCATGACATTTTAATTTTTTTTATTTTCAAAAGTAAATTAAAAATAACACAACCATTTACTTTTTATAATACATGGAAAGACATTCCTTCCATCATAAGCCTTTTTTGAGGGGGGCAGTTATTAAATACATATATTGATATTCACTTCCATTGTTTTTCATTAAAGGCAGTTGAAGCTTAAAAAATAACATTATTACAAACTTTAAAATAAAAGACAAGTCATAAGACTTCGACTTTGCATCATTTAGCTACGTTGTTTGAATATGTAGGTTTCCTTAAAATGTGCATTTATTGAGTTTAGATTTTAATAATAAAAACTTCCTCTTAAATGAATCGTGATTTATGCACTTTGTGGGCTAAATGAATTAGACTCCAAACTTTTATCTGAATCTATGGAGCTTGGATATAAATTGAAAAGATCACAGCTATGGGGAGAAGACCTATACTGCAAAGGCCTTTCTGCATAGATTATGAACATCATAACTCAATAATTTTTTCAAAACTGTGGTTATAATTGGACCCAATGGGGGTCTCTTTCTTTGATCAGATCACAGTAACTGTGACTTTACACTGGAAAATGTCACTACTGTGAAGGTTTATCACCTGTAGAGCTGGTCTTTCCTCTGATGCTGTGTTCATTTCTCATTAGCATTATTCAAAGTTTAGTTGTTAATTAGGTTGACACTTCAATTACAATCATCATCTACAGGAGTAGTCAGGGCTGCTTGCATAAAGAAATTTTTAAAAATACACTTCCTTGGGTATATATGTAAAGGAGAAATGACATTATTTTATTTTGTTATCTGGTGGTTTCATAAGGGTCAGAATATGCTCTGTTAAGGGAGCAATCCAACCACAATTTCTCCCATCGGTTTTGTTTTCTTGGGAAAAAAAAAAAGCGTTTTTATATGACTTCATGTTCCCATGTAAAGCATCAATGAGGAATGATATGAGCAACAATATTTTTTAAGTGTAGACTGTAGTTTTCTATAACGCATGAAAAGAATTGGTCAGGTGAATTAGATGATAGGAATGTATCACATCATTTCCCTTTAAAAAAGTTAGAGTATACATCAGGATTGTGATTATACCTACGGAATACTCATCTAAGTAAGGGTCATTCATAAATAGTAACCATTCTATAAAATACAGAGAACCGGAACTTGAAGGACAGAAATGTATGAAAAATGGTAACAAATTCGGATGCCTTGAGAAATTATGCAAACTCCTGAGAAATAAATATTTCTTTGATTTAAAAACATTAATCTGATTACTGGTTCATAAAGCGATGACATTGAACTCAAACCCAGCACATTGTGGTGGGGAAAAAACTGGACAGAACTGGGTTGAAATCTCAGTCTTGCCATGTAGTAGCTGTATAGGGAGGGCAAACTGATTCACATCTTTAAGTCCCTGTTTCTTCATTCATAAATGGTAATACAAATGTCTTTCTTAGAAGGCTATGAAAACTGAGACACTGTATAACATGTGCATAACGTGATTCTCTACTCATGGTAGGTTCTCAATCACTTTAACTTCTCCCCCCTCTCTTTTTGTCTAATAATGGTGAAAACTATTAAAAAAACGAGTAGAAAATTACATATGCAAATGAGACTTCCAAAAATAAAATTAAATGGTAAGTGATCCTGGAGGACCTGTAACAAATAACCTTACATGGCAGAAATGAACGATACCAACCGGCTTCTTCTCAAAACAAGTAGACACATGTTGTAATTGCTAAAAATCTGCAGAAAAGTGGCGCACAGGCAGTTTACTGTAAAATAATTAAAGCTTATTTATGTCAAGAGGCCTTGGGAAAAAAAGAGAGCATAAACCAATTTGCATTAGCACGTTACTATCGGCTCCTGCTTTCGTTTCAATTAACAGACCAGCAGGTGCTCTCTGCAGTTAAAAAGATAAGCTATCAGGGAGGAGGATGAGTTTTTGGCTGACCTGCAGACACTGTGGTTTGCCTGCTGATTGGGTTCGTACCTCGCTGTACCAATTTCTGAGGTGTTAATTTAACTGTTCCTCTCTGTCATGCAGGTCTCGGCCCTGAAAAATAAACTGAAGAAGCAGTCTACAGCTACGGGTGATGGAGTAGCTAGGGCCTTTCTTAGGGCACAGGCTGCTTTGTTTGGATCCTACAGAGATGCACTGAGATACAAACCTGTAAGCGTTTTATTTCATCCCTATTTTAATTTGCTCTTTTAATGGTTCTTTAGAATGGGGCAGAGAAAAGAAACATTTTACTATCACACACAGAGAAAGTGTCATAAAGGTCTTTTAAAATCCAAAATAATGTGCTTTAAGGCATTGTGCCCTGTGTCCAATTCCTTGACTTTTTGGTTTTAGTTCTTTTAGTAACCTTTAATTGCTATTTCCCACATTCTTTGGCACATCATCTTATGTATTGTTCTAAATTGGCTTACCTCTTAACTAATTAATGAATTGTTTGTTAATGAGTTTTAATGTAACCACCTGACCTTAAGATCATTAAGAAATTATCTAGACAGTTGGGTTTCATAGATTAATCCATTTAGAAGTGACTGTACAAAGTGGAAATTTAAAAATATAGGAGCTTGCAAATTTTGCAATGTTTGGAAATTTATCGTCTTCTTATTCCATAATACTCTTCTTAGTGGGCTATCTATTTAGCATATGCTAGCTCATTTTGGCGTTTCTTTTTTGTCTTAATACCCTAAAAATGATTATTATGTAGAATTGTAGCCAGTCAAGTTTTTAAATAGTCCAAGAAGGTATAAATCAAAATATGCTAGTTTCTCTCTCTGAATTATTGGTTAAATATGTTAGTCTGATTTTAATGAAAATAATTATACTGCCCTTCCATGACCAGCTGACTATGTTGTAATGGATAAAAAACACTGAGTTAGTAATAAGTAGTAAGACATGCTATCTAATAAGAATTCCGCTGTTATTAAGCTGTGTAACCTTGACCCATTTCCTTGGTCTCTCTAGACTTTGATCTTCTCATTTGGAAAATGAGAATTCTTATACTTTACCTGTCTACTTTTCAGAATTGGTGTGTGACCCCTATCATAAACCATGAAACACTAAACACGTGTGAATGGGTTATATCCTTTCTAAACTGGCTTCTCAATTAGTAGTTCCCACCCAATGGCTCTTCCATCTCTGAGGAGTTAGTGAGTTACTAGGAGTCCTTAAATGGATAGGCAGATCAACTGCTGTCTCTAGAGAAGTACATATGTCTAATTTGCATGCTAATCTTTTTGAAATATGTGTCTGTTTTTTAAAGCCTTGTAGAAGTCATAATACTGCACATAGTATACATATTGAGAAACACATGGGGGAGTCTTTAAAAATTATTGACAGTTACATGGTTTCATTTATTAAAAGACTAGAAACCAATCATCTGTACTAATAAAATTGTAAAATCATCTGGTTGTCAATTTTTTTTTTTTTAAAACAAGTTGATTTCAAGTTTATAGTACAGGAGGGAAATTTAGAAGTACCACTTAGCTTAAATTTTGCCACATTTAAATAATTTTTAATCTTTGCAGGCTGCATTTTTCTTTTCCTTTTTAAATTTGTGAAGGACTTCAGATTTGAGGAAAGCAAATTGAAGAGAAAATTTCCTTAAATGATTTAAATTACCAGTTGAGCAGATAGGGGTTTAAGATTTCAATGACTTTGATTTTTTTTTCAAAGCCAGATTCCCAATTTCAGCAGGAAAATACATAATTTCATTAGAGAATATCTTTCCTGTTTATTGATCACATCTTATTATAAACTTCTTTAATAACTTATGTACCTTTTTCCTTTTTATGTTTCGTGTTTTATTTTTTACTGCTAATTCTTTCTGTAAGTTGAGGGACAGTATTCTTATTCTGTATGTTATTATATTTCTTCTGAATCTTGAATGAAAGCTTAATTTTTAAAGTATACTAAATTTTATTAAAGTATACTAAATTTCGATACTTTCTATTTTCAAAAGAAATAGTTTTTTCGGAAAATTTATCTTTGTTGTGTATAAAGTATATTTTGTTGTCATTTAAGCATTATCTTTGCAAATTACTCTATATTTTAATTTATTAAAAGTACACTTATTTTGTGAACTCTTTTGGACATTTATATAGTAGGTATATGTCTTTAATATATTTTCTGATTAATATTAAAAAAGAGCCATGTTTACAAGTTAAAATTATTTCATGGTTTTGTCTCTTTTTATAAAAATATCTCAGTGGTGTCCTCTAACTATTAGAGTACAACTGGAAAAAAAAAATCACTAAATAGCTTTAAATGACTATGACTTTTTTTTAAAAAAAAAAAACGATTTTATTTATTTATTTGACAGAGAGAGAAATCACAAGTGGGCAGAGAGGTAAGCAGAGAGAGAGGGGAAGCAGGCCTCTACTGAGCAGGGAGCCCAATGTGGGGCTCGATCCCAGGACCCCGAGATCATGACCTGAGCCAAAGGCTAAGGCTTAACCCACTGAGCCACCCAGGCACCCCATGAATATGACTTTTTTAACTGGGTATTGCTTTCCAAATTTCATGATTGTTTATATATATATATATATATATATATGTATATATATATATGATATTTTAATATATCTTTTATATACATATATATATTTATATATGTATATAAAAGCAAACTATTCTTATTATGTTATTTCTCTTATATTGCCAAAATTAGGCCTGTAGATTAGTCATAGAACTGTCCTTCAAGACCCTCACAATGGGCAAGCAGTCTGTCTTTACTTTTTTTCCTGATTTTTGACCTCAATTCAGAGAATTCTGCTTGAGGCTCCAAAATGTCCCAAGCGTCTCAGGCTTCCAAACATTCCAAATTACTACAGTTAATGCTCTTTCTTCCTGGTAGTGCTTTTATCTTTCTTGCTTTTAATGGCCATCTAGTTCCTTCCTGATCCTTAAAAGCTGTAGTTTATACTGACCCTTTTTTTCCCTATGAATTGATTATACTTACTTTCTTTAACACATTTCTTCTCCCTTTTTTGTATGGTTTTTATTATGGTTCTTTTATTATTTTTACTGAAATTCATAATTAGTTGCTATTAAAACAATAGTTGACCTTCATGTACCCTCTGGGTATCAGGCATTAATAGACACTTTAGATAGACTATTTACCCTTTTCATGTTAAAGATGAGGAACATGATGTTCACAGAGTTTAAATAACCTCTCTGAGGTTCTTGGGCTACCAAATAGTGGGGCCCGCACATGAATCTCTTCTTCTGCAGTCCCCCTCTTGTTCCAGTGTGGCACATTTCTGCTCGCTCTGGCCTGCATTACTGTATCATACTCTCCTTGAGGTCAATGTCCTGAACTAGCATTTCTTCTAAATGAAGATGCATGGAAGGCATTCAGGACACACTATGGAGAGACTGAACAAATGATGCAGTCGTAGGACTTTTCTCAAAAGGAGCATATGGTAGTGACATCCCACTGCGTGTGTGTGTGTGTGTGTGGAGATATAGATAGATAGATAGATAGATATAAATTGGGGAAATAATTTGTTATTCATACTGCATATTTCCATTTGTGGTTTTGTTGACCTGTGGTAACTGCCACTGCTCAATCTGCACCTTCCTCCTCCCTCAGTCTTCAGTGGTGTTGGTGGGGAGCCAGTGGGATGTGGGCTGTGAGGGAAAGCCCTCAGGATGATTCGAATGTCCGTTTTCAAATGCAAATACTAAATACCTATGCTAAATGCTGCCAAAGAGGAACTTATGTTACAAATAAACTTAGAATGTCTGAGTGACAACTCTGAATATGTTGTTGCTCTTCTCAGATTTCCTCACTTTTACCTTCTGAATGACACACGAGCACTATTGACAAGTAAATGGTGCCTACTCTTACTTACAGAGAGAAATATACAAGTCCTCAAAGTTGTTGGAAAGTGATTTAAATAAAACAGTGGATATTTTGATTTTGGGGGATTTTAGCCAGCAGCAAGTTAGTTACTTTTTAAGAATTCAAAAATGTGAGTTCAAAGTAATGTGCTACATGGATTGAAGAAACGTGGTAAGAACACAAGCTCTAGAACCAGGCTGCCTGGGTGCAGATCCTCCTGCTGCGACTCACTAGTTGAGTTTGGGCAAATGAATGTCATAGTGCTTTAGTTTCCTCTTGTGTTCTTTAAAAAAGGTAGTAATTCTTGTTGGGTTATTTAGAGAATAAAATATGTTCATAAATGTAAGTTACTTAGAACAGTGTTTGGCATATTATCAATGCTTTATGTATTTGCTATTATTAAAAATGACATTTTAGAAGTACTAAGTTTGGGGAGGAAAATTCCTCTAACAAAACTAAAGTACCCTCCTCTGATTTCCCAAAAGAAAAACACTGTTATAAACATGAGAATACTTGTAAGTGACTGTATTAAATAACTAGTAAAGGGTCATCAGTTGTACCTCTGTGTATCATTTGTGTCACAAGCTATTAAAAATAAAAAAGTCAATTTTTGACCAACAGCTAATGCTAACGAAATGTTTGCCTGAGTTAAAATACTGCTTAATATGTTCAAAGGCATATTCTTGGTTATCCTAAGAGCAGAGACGTAACACTTAGATCTAGTCCTTTGAATACTTGGGGTGCTGTCATTTGTTTCAATCACTCAAGCTTTTCTGGGCAGCTCTGAGCCTTGCTGATGGATAAAAGGTGAATTCTTTTTAAAATAAAGATTGGTTGGTAAACTAGGCCTCTATTTGGCAGTTTGGAAGAGTTGTCCTTTTGGAATATATTTCGTCAAACATTATCAGTAAATAATGTTATATTTTGTGATTAAACTCAAACAATTTAAGCACAGGATTGGTATCCATAATTTAAGTGGACATTCACTAAATCTTTGCCTTCAGGTTTCCATTTAACAGATTTGTAACTGTCAACTTGTTAGAGAATTAAAAATCCAAGTTGAAATGTACATTTGCTCACCCCTCTTGGTTTTATGGTTACTAAAACATTTTAGGCGCCCATTCATCTCATTACCCAAGCTTGCCTATAGACCTTTTGGCTTTAGAAATGGTTGAACCAAGAACATATTTGTTGTGTATTTGGAGTCTCATAAAATACGGTTGCTTTTATGGCACTTTCTTTCTGCCTTTTTTTTTTTTTTTCTTTTTTAACAGAGAAGGAATCTTGCTTAACTGCTTTAGCAAAAATGTAA